TCACCGGGTTAAAAGGCAGAATATTTATTCCCCAGTTTGAATTTTAATATGAGTTGTTCCAGTCTTTGCTACAGTCTGGGCATGTTTGACATTTTACAGGCATAGCTCCTTCAAAATGTTGTGTTTGAAATGAAATAATACCAAAAAGAAAACAATAAAACAGGAATCTGCATAGCTTAAACAATAAATGCCTGGCGGTTAAAAAAAAAAAAAAATGTATCTTTGAGATACCTCAGGTGCTTACAGTTTTGGTCCTGAACATAACACTGAACACAAAAAATTTAAATGTAATTTCGATGTATTATGAAAATATACAGTTTTCATTAGTCCAAAACCATCCCACTTTAAGGATCAGCAAAGGTTCAATATAGGATGCTTAATATGACCACTGACTTCTCCAAGCATGATTAACAGAATACTGAAAGGTTGTTGTTTTTTTTAAGCAGCATTTCCCATGGCTCATATTTCACTGGTCATACTGGTATAACCAGGCGCTCAAGTCCAGCTCCACCAGCTTAGTGTCAGGAAAATTGATAAGGCTTGTGGTTATCTTAACAGGCTCATTTGGTAGCTCCTTGAACCAGACTGCCATCTGATATGGGGTTTGAGAGAGACTTTATCAACACAATAGCAACTTCTTTCAAACTGCTAAAGAGCTAAGTCCCTTGAATTTGCATATTTTTACTATTTTAAACTTATATGTTGCACCACAATTGCAGAAAACAAAAAAGCTACTCCAATTCTAAAATAAATGGCAAGTTAGGTAATCAACCATGGTCCCTCTCCCCTCTCCCCCCAAAAATACAACTTGCCTTTTTTACTCTCTAAACAAAAAGAACACAGCTAAGAGCTAATAAATTAATTTTCAAAACCAAGCAAGTCTAGGATACTCATTGTTTTTAATTTGGAAATTTTAACCACTTCTTCCTGCAGGTATGGTCACAACCACTCAGATCCTGAGTGCCTAAGGAGCAACCACCTTAGTGGGCATTGACTGAAGCAACCATCCAACAGGCCCAGTGGAAAGCACCTCCATGCCCTGCACAGCACAGACACAGTTGCCAGGCAAACTTCCATTGCAGCCTTGAGCTTGCTGTCTCGCAGATTTCAGATTCTGCAGAGCTGGTAACTTTGCATTAATGGAGATATGTGGTTCACTTGCCTTTATAAAAATTTTGACCAGTCCTGTTCTTGGCCCTGCTTCAGCAGTACTGTGTAAATATTTAAAAGCACTGGTGAAGAATAGCCCAGTAAGTTATTGACTCAAGTGCCACAAAAGTGCCCACCCTTAGTGATCACCAGACACTGGGAGATTCTGGTTTTCTTCAGCACATGAAAGGACTCATCGGGAAGTCCTTCTCTGGTGATCCTCTGCAGCGTCCCTTTCTGAAAGGGACCTGAAATGAACTTTGGCTGAAGAAAAAGAGAATTTAGTTCTTTTTGTCACTAAGGTTTCAAGCATTTGTGCTGTAGACATTATAGTTCTGTATAATCTAGAGAAACCTTTAAAATTAGCTTAGATGTTTAGCCATGGCAGTAAATAATGCAGAAGAGTGTGTTCCACATACATAAAAGTGTTAAGATATATATACATATTTAACGATAGTATCTGAGGTAAATTTTATTTATCAAAACATTAAGAAATCACACTTGATTGTTTACAGTATCTCTTTGTAGGATTCTACGAATGAATTCTCTGAATTGTAGTGGGAATTGAAAACAGATCATGGAGTAATAAATCTAGTATATGAGCAATGTACCATACAAGATCCTGCATGGACAGGCAGGTGAACATGACAATCCAAGGGTTTTTTCTGTTTCTAAATAAGTGAACCAATTGTACTGCAGTCACAGACGAGCTATACAGGAAATAACAATGGAACAACATCATCATGAAAATCAGGACCTGGAAAAATTACATGGACTGTAGCGGTATAGAACAGAAGATTGCATCCAACCAGTTTCAATGAAAAGTGAGGAAAACCTTTAAATAAAAAAAAAAGTAACTTTTCACATATGAACAGAGCATACCTGTCAGCTTCTAAACAGGTGTTTTTTTTTTCAGAACAGATATAGCCAATTTCTACACCAATAGACTTTTGTCACATTTGTAACGTTTCTTTTGCACTTAATGCAAATAAAATTTCGCAGTTATGGACAGTGAAAGATCTGATTTTGTGAATCCAAACTTACCTGGAAAGTTTGTGAATTATACTATTACAATCTTACCTTTAGATGTTACATGAGATAAACTAAAACACAGATGTTTGTAGTCTTAGCAATAAACTTGTCATCATAATGTATTTCTCAAATTTGATAACATTATGGATTACAAAAACTGGTCTTACCATTGTTTATGCTAAACACATTATTCTAAAATAATCTAATTTATATGCTTTGATACTGATTCCATGCTCCTCAGTTTTAGTGATATTTCCATGCCTGTGAAGAGAGAACAGAAACTCCCTTGCAGGACAGAAATCTCTAGTACTCTGAAGAAAAGTGAAGAGAAAGTTTGTCAAAAACTCAAGCTGCATATTGTGATGTGAAGGAATATACGGAATATACAGAATATTGAAAACAAGCTACTGATAAAGCCATGGACTGGACAAATCTAGTAAACCACAGGAAAATACCAGGAGGAGGTAACAACCACTAATGGCCCATATCTTGCATTGTAGGGAGTTCAAAACATACCTTACAGCTCAGATCCAATTACTTAGACCTAAAGTGATATTGCAGAATATAGGATATATAAATACACAGAGGAAACAGCTTTTTCTAACAGGTTGTATCCTACTGAAGCTTCTGCAACTTGCTGTGGCGAGAAGTACTGTGTGTGCCCTGCTCTGAACCATGATGCAAAAGATAAAAATAACACTTCCAGAAAACCACCATACATTTAAAGACAATAAGGGTTTTCTTTTTCTTCTAACTGAACAGATAGGTTATTGATACTCCTTAAGCCTGTAAGAAAATACCTCAAGCACCCACACTTGAAATGGGATGGAACACAGTGCACTCAAGTATAATAGCATTATTATTTTAGAACTCTTCAGGCAGAAGAAAGAAAGAATCCGAAGTACATCATAACAGTAACGTGTGGTACCTAGCAGTTTTGTTCTACGGTCCTTTACTAAGCTATTATTTTAAGAGAGTGTTTGCTAGACACACTTCTGCATTTTCAAGCACAAAATGATATCTATAAAATATTCCACACTGTAATATACTGTATTGAAACAGAGGTGTTTTCAAGATACCAAAAAATTGATTACATTTTCTTGAACCTAACTTTTCACAGTGTAATTGATGAGGGCACCAGCTTGGTATTTCTACTCAAACATGGCATAGATCTACATGACTGTCTTTAGTAATCTAGCAACTGGTAAGGTAAGACCATCCTGAAGAGACACCTGACTGCTTGGCAGTTCTTTTACGGAGGAAGATAGCTTTTAAAGATGGCAATAAAATGATAAAACAATTCACCTCACTTACAAACAAGTGTTGAAATTAAATTCTATCAGTTATTTCTAGAATAGTGTGGAGAACCACTAATTTTGGGGGAGGGCAGGGGAGAATGGAGGGGAACCCATTTAAAGGACTTCTCCTCTTGTCATCAAAACTAGTTCAATCTGATATTAATACGTAATCATCTATTAATATTCAATCTTATTTTGATTTAAGAAAGGGACTTTGGTATTTGCTCTTAGAGTGAGCCTATCAGACATGAAAATTCTATAAATGACATACTGTCAGTAATTTTTAACTTTTAATTTTCTGGTTTCACACTCAGCATAACTTAATACAATCATAAAAATTTTTAAGGCTATACATTAGACAAAATCTTGGTAATAAGCTATTAAATATAACTCCTTGACATAATGCCAACCAAAGGTTTTCTCAGGAATTTTTACTATAAATTCACCTGTATTTTGGAATTCATTTATGTGTTTTAAATTTGTATTATTTAATTTTTGCATATTGCTAACTCCCATAGAGCAGAGGCTGCAGTACTACCAAAGAAAAAAGTTACTGTCCAAGGTACTGTACAGAAACCAGAGCTTCCTAATGAATCTCTAAAATCCATAAAAATAATTTCATTTTTTTTAGTGTAGTAATTATCTCTAGCAAGCAAGCTAGCCTGCTTGAAATTCCCTACATGATGCTGCAGTATCAGTGATATGCTGTTACTTTCCAGTGCCACTTCTGCTGCATTCCAGTATAATCAGACGCTTCAGCACCTGACAGTACTCAGTACGTGTAATCCTTTTAAGGACAAACCTGTTCTATGTTTTCTTATAAACTGACTCTTATCAGGGTGAAAGTATAAAATAAAACCAAAAAACTTTGAATTCTACATGGTGCATGAAAAAAAAGCTATCCTCTAAAAAAAATCTAGCCAATAGGCACTGTTCAGGCATTCTGCAGAGCAACCACCAAATGTAATTTTACCTGCAGTATTCACTTTAAAAATTTCAGAAACATATAGAGGCATGTATTTTTGCAGTACAAAGCAAATAACATATTGGATTTACTCACCACTTCAAAACATAACAAAAAAGTGCAAAAGAATTACATACCTTTTTTTCCCCTACTTTGTTTCGTTTAATAGAAGCAGCATATTTGTAATTTGCCAGGCTAAAACAATGCAACAGCCAGGAACTGCAGTAAACCTCTCAGAGCTAATAGCTATATCCAATAATGCTTTCCCACACCACCTCCAAGCAAATGGGTTTAATTCACTGCTTAATCAGCCAAATTAACAATAATCCCCATATGGTTAGAAAATATGTTTGTTAAACGAGCCCAATTTATGATTTATTTATTTATAAAGTGTCTTAAAGCTGAGATGCCTAGAAGAACTACTACTCTTTTAATGCAATCATGCTGACAGAGCTTTTTTCACCTAGCAAATTCTCTCTGCAATTCACAGCATGGCTGACAGCTGTCTGCATAGAAAAAGAACACAGTAACCATTTAAATCATGCAAAAACATTTACCTGAGAAGATGTAGCAAAGATCAGGATCCGGCTTCCAGACCCCATGAAGCATGAAGCTGGGGGAGCAATCCACTAGCTTGCTCAGGCCAGCAGTCTCTCTCCTACACTTGACCTAGACTGCCTTACATAATGAGGAATCAGTGCTGTATCCTGTGTGGAGGAGCAAGCTGAATGTCATCACTGGCAGAAGTACGGAGAACTGGCAGCAGGCAGGCTGGTAGTTAGCATGGAGATCACGAAGTCTGCTTTCCCCGAGTGTTCTGGGAGAAAACACAAGAACAGCTCAGAAATGCTGGTGTCATTCCTCCCCTGGAACAAATGACCGGAAGGAGCGAGGGTGTTACAAACGTGAGGCAGACTGCAAGTGCTAAAGCTGCATCTGTACCTACTGTCAAGGTAACAGAGTTCCTGCCACACTGTGTCTAGAGGACTGCATAGCGACAGCTAATAGGAGAGCAACAGCAAGGCAAATGAGAATGAGAGACACAGACTGCTTCTGCATACATTTGTCTATATATTACTCATTGCGGTGAGTAGAAGAAAAGCAATGGTATAAGATAAAATACTGTGATTGATACACAAAGGGAAGTGCTATTCCCTTAAATAAATCTTATTGCATGCAAGTTAGTTTCTGCAAATATAACCATTTGTTACCTGTTTTACCTGCTGTTAGAGAGGTTAAAGTGCTCGTATTGGAGAGATATTGATATTTTCATGAAAAGTATGAGTAAGAAATATTCCTGGTTGTGAATATGTTTACAGTCACTTTGGTATTTTTTTCCTTTTTTTTTAAGATATTTGTGATCTTTCTTAGTTTATCATTGTTTGGGTCATATCAGCACTTTCACTGTGGAGGGCACAAGAAGAGAAACAAGTATTGAGGCTTAGCCAGCAGTTAGAAACCCACGCAATGTTATTGTTTACAAAAGGCAGCTTTATATTAATTAAAAGCACTGCATATTACTTGTATTCCATATTTTATTTCATGTGAATATTTGAATACTAAGAGCCTTAAATACCAATAATGCATATACAAAATATTCTTGAATTAATATTTTGAGTTATATAGTTTCTGTTTACAAAAGAAGATGAAGGTTTCACTAAGATGGGGCATCTTAAGTTTTCTAGTTATATTTGAGACTGCTTGACCAGGCATGATCAAGACTAATTGCAACTTGGCACAAATGTTCAATGTCACAGATAAATATCACTTGATAATGAATACAGTAATTGAAAGATAAAGAAACTATCATTTAATAATATTTAACATCCCATGTCCTTCTTATTTAAATTAATGGGTTTGGGGAAATGAGTGAAATAATGGGGACAATTTTCATCTCAGCTCTGAAGCTTTCCAAGTGAAAACCCTGGGCTGCATTAAATGCGAGAGTAAAGAGGAACTCAGCAACAACATTGCAGCAACATCAAAAGACAGGTCACTAATGTTATCAAAAGTTTTAGTATCAATATACAACATTGGCTGTGTTTTACAAAAGTCAGCTGAGGTACAAGGACTATTACTCTTAGTTCTGCCTTTAGAAGCGTAAACATTTGAGCTCTGACCTCAAACAGAAAAATCATGGTGAAGTTTAAAGGGATAAAATTAATCCAAATTTTATTTACAAAACTTATTTAAATGGTTATTTCTCTTCAATAAACATACAAAGGCTTTTCCAACGGATATAAAGGTTAAAAAATATTGCTTGAGTGTCACTGGTTTTTTTTAAATATACATTTTCCTAGTTCCTTGTTGAATTATCTTCTTTTTGCTTTCTTGAGAATGAAAAAAAAAAAAAAAGAAAAAGGAAAAGAAAAAGAGTAAAAGAGTATCAGGATATACCAACTGTAGATACAAAGTATAATGTGCAAAAAAAAAAACCAAAAATTCAAGGGAGATATAATTTGAAAATGATAAATTATTTTCTTAAACAATTACTGTTGTACTTTAAATCAGTAACTTTTCATCCAGATAGCACAATTTATACCATATCAGCAAATAATATTAAATCTATCTTGGTGAGTTTATTCTTTCACATACTGGTGATGACATTCAATGGGGAGTCCCTTTTAAAACTTTATATAATTTATATACCAACCTCTACTTTTGGTGTTTCAAGTGTTAAATATGTACTTGCTTACAGGAAAGCTATCTAATACTGGTCCTTCATCAATCAAGAGTTAAAATTATCATAACCTGTGTTAAGATGTGTATACAACAGTAGTATAGTTAAGGTGCAAAATGTTGGGAATTCTGTCATCACAGCAATGAAAACAGCAAAGCATCTGAACTACTCATTTAAAGCCAGCTCAGATGCCTTCATGGCAATGGCACATTAATACATTACTAGGACAATCTGTCTACAGATGACTGCATCAGGCAGAGAAACAAAATTAACAAGTAAACTATCGGTGAAACAACCCAATACACAGAAATAAAGTAGAAAATACTACCTAAATGAACAGAATAACAGACTTGACTATTAGCCTCGCAAAGGCAGCATAGGGTTTGCTTGATGTTACAGTTTAGACAAACAGGTTTGATAGAGATGATTCCATCTTTGGGCAAAATAATGAACTAAATATTCCTTCAAAGCTTTTCCAGCCTTCTTTTCTCCGATATTCCCAATAAACTGTTTTTCCATGTGCAGAATAATGACTGTCAAATTATATACTTTTGTGGTGATGATAAGTAAATACAAAGTAATAATTTGTAAACATCATGTAACTGTCATTCAGAATATGCGTGCAAGCCATAGTTTTTGCCTGGAGTGTAAAAACTGTTTATTTCTATCAGGAATCAGCCAGCATATTCATCCATTGATTTAGAGTAGTTCTTACAAGCGTTTTGCTCTAGATGAACTTGGTCTGATCTGCTGGCAAGTCAAAACTATCAATACAAAATGATGCAGAAACTGCTGACATCTAGGACTCTTAGTCAAAGACTGTTTCTGGGCCAGCTGCACTGATAATGTGAGCAGTAGAGTCTGTGGTAAGAAAATAAGTCAAATCTATATCACTCTCAACTACCAGATTAGTCTGATGCTCCTGTAGTAGTATTCACTCTGACAAATTAAAGACAGTAAATGCAGTTTTTTAAAAAACTTTTAAAACCTGTATTCTTTTGCAAATGACTGTAGAACAAAACTGCTAATTGGAGAAGAAGAATGGACTAAGTCTACCCCTCACATAAGGATGGAGATGAAAATATGAATGTTTGAGATTTCATATTTTGCGAGGAGTATAAAACAATTGAGTCTCTTTTGTTACACTAGTCTCATGAAGATAATGTATCCCTAGGATGTTTTACAGGAGCCTAAGTCTGTGAAACAAGTTCTGGGATTTTTCTTTTCTGGAAAATTTGGCAGTAGAAGTTAACAAAGCTTATCACTAAATTGTCCTTACTGGCTGAGTTTATGTCCACAAGGTTCTTTCTATTCCTTGCTGAAATGAAGGAAGCAGTATCTCATAGACAGTACTCCTGCCAACAACCTTGAGTAAACAGGACAATTTTTTTTAGACACCTTGCTCTTAAGAGGCCTTGCACATAAATAAATCATTACTTGAGGTTTGCTCATTCTAAGATAGATTCCATTTGGAATCTGGTAAAACATTAAAATGCTCCAGTATCACTGACTGCAGAGACATCTACAATATCTTGAGATTAAGGTTTTTGTTTCTTTCCATCCTCCTCTGACCTTGCTTTCTTTTCTCAAAATAATTTTTACCTTGTGTTCCTGAACAACTTTCACAAGTTATTCATGCTGAAATGTGTGAACAGTTGCTCAAAGTCTTAAAAAACCAAAACCCAATACCAACCAGAACCCACTATTTAGACCTGATATCATATACTCTTATGACTGGGAGGTTAAGACTGTAACATACAAGTCCTTTACCAAAGTCTCTCTGGAGACTTAGGCCATTTCTATGTATATTCTTGTCATGGTTTAAACCCAGCCAGACAGCTTGTTCACTCACTGCCCCCATTCTTGCCCTCCCCCTACTCCTGGAAGGACAGAGAGGAGAATCGAAAAGAATGCAACTGCCACGGGTTGAGATAGGAACAGTTTAGTGACTAAGGTATAACACAAATCACTACTGCTACCACCAATGATAATAATAAGGCAAATAACAAGGGAAGAGAATACAACACCTCAGCACCCACTGACCGATAACTCGCTCCCCCAGCCTGACCAAGCACTGACTGACACCTTGTCCAACCCTGCAGTCTACCAGCCCTTCTGGGTCACTCTCAGTCACATCCTGGGCATGACGTGCTGTGGTATGGAATACCTCTTTGGTCAGTTTGGGTCAGGTGTCCTGTCTCTGCTTCCTCCTGGCTTCCCTCCTCCCTGGCAGAGCACGAGGCTCACAAAGTCCTTGGCCAAACCAAAACATCCTTGTTATCAGCTCTGTTCCCGAGCTGAAAGTCAAAACACAGCACTGCACCAGCTACCAAGAAGGAGAAAAATGACTGCTACTGCTGAACCCAGGACAGTTCTTTTTCTGTTAGCAAAACCAATAAAGGCATACCTCATATCTCCTGTTTTGAAATGCATAGCAAAAGCTTTTGATTTGATCCTTTGAGTTTTATCTAACAGCTTGAGACCTACATTTACTCTACATGTATTTTTTATTATTTGATCCAGCCATAACACAATGAAGATCACTGGAGATGAGTCAAAGTTAAGAATTTTCTTCTTTAGTTGACTAGACTTCCTAGACTGTCTGACTGACGGCAATATTCAAATAGCAGAAGTACAACTCTAAATGTTATTTTACCCTTAGATCATTTCCTTCTAAATGATCAAGTATTCCAGCAATGATAGGTGAACACTGAAGTCTCAAATTCAGCCCGAACTCCTCAGATGGGTATTACTAATTCTATAATTTTGTGCACATGAAATTTCTGTTATTTGTTATACATTATCCTAGAAAATAACTGAAAAATAAATAGTTATTTTATGATTATTAAAACAAAATAATCATAAAAACTTTCTACAATTAAAGTATGAACATTGAGTAGGTCAAGGTTACAGTAAACTCAGTATTAATGGACTGTTGTTCTTCGACTTCTCTTTGACATACTCTCCTCTTCAATGAAACTAGCTACAATAGCCTTTTTAATTCTTTTCATAGATTTTTGGTAAGATTTATAGGGCTGACTATTATACCTCTGAGAGTGCCTATAAATTGATTTCCCAAGCCACTATTTTTGTACTTATCTCATAAAAAAAACCATCTGCTGTTTTGCATATTAATACTGAAAGAGGATGGCAAAAATAGGAGAAAAAAAGTTAAAATTAAAAGGCAGATAATTAAACATTCAATAAGTGTCTATTTATTTTGAGTAAATGAATGATCTTTATCAACTGAAAATAATCAGTACTGGCATGATTTTTTATAGAATTTTCTGGTGTTAATTATTGCAGGATGTTGAATTTAGATTTAAATTTTTTTAGTATTTCCCTAAATTATTTCTTATGAGCTGAAAAGCAAGAAACAATACACAGTTTTGGAGACTAACTTGTTTAAATTATAAAACATCCATAAAAACATTTCTAGAGCTTGTAGTAGTATGAGGTACTTATGCCTAAGAACAATGTCAGGCAAAACAGATTTATGGTTCAGCATAAATGTACCATTAGCACTAAAAGCAATCGAGTGCCTTTATTTCTTTTTCTTTTTTTTTCCCCAAAACCACTCCTAAATAGCCCACAGAATGCATCATTTGTGATATTGATTCAACATAGACACAGTACTGCCTAACACAACATCCTG